GTATATCGTCACGTTGTTTACGTGATGGTGTATACCGCCCTTCTCGTGTAAGACAATCGGAATAGTCTCGCTAATCATCCAAGGAGTGAGTCTATCTCGCTGGCTTGTAAGATGAATTCAATCTTTGTATAATTTAGAAATAATTTTCTAATTTTCTAATTCTGTGTTGTTTTGTTGCAGTTGAGTTCCCTGAAGATGGCTTTCCACCTTATGCTACAAGCGGTTGCAATAGGGAGACTTTCACTGCTAGTGTTGACAGGCAGGCTATTGATCCGACCCCTCAGTTTAATGAGAGTCATCCTGAGGAGATTCATCGATTGATACGAGACGGGGGCCGTCGTTCATTACGCCAGCTCATTACCGATGCTACCTTTACTGAAGACTCCATTTTTACCCAGGCTTTAGAGAAGCCTGATTATGTATTCAGGGACCATGCCGAGGATCCGACTAAATTGACTCTTGATGATGAGCATTGATCGAATGATGATGGCGGGAGTCTTTATACATACCCTCTATTTCCCGTCTGCATTCTCTCACTCATTTGGAGACGCAGGCTGTGCGGCGACAGATGTCTTGGAGTCTTACAGATGACCATGACCGAGTTCACTGTGGCTTTGTTTTCCATCATAAGATCCCAGGTTCTGATGGGTATAATCATATTCGCGGCCTTCGACCGGGGATTCTGGGACTTGATATAGCGTCACCGGACGAGGTGTCAGTAGCCGTCCATACTGTGAGGAATCGTACCAAGGATATACAAGTCCCATACTCTAACCACAAGTTAGAGAACAACCCAAAACTAACAAGATTGGCGTAAAAAGAAAATATAAAAACTGCTATAGTTTTTGAGCTTAAGAAACAACTATCACAAAATATTTCACAAACAACAATCATTCCAACTGAATGACTATCCCTGAGCTTCAGTTATCATTTCCAGCAGCAATCTTGAGCCCCGCATCTAGCCTCAGACCAGCCATTTTCTTCTTCCTCCTTTCCTGCAGTCTTGTGGTTCTGGCAGATACCTTTTTTGAACCTAGCCAAAAGGTTGAAAAAATCATGACTTTGTGAAGTATCATAATATAACTCCTTCTCTTGTTAGGTCAGTAGCCGTCCATACTGTGAGGAATCGTCTGGTTATGCTTGGGAGGAAGTTACCCCTGAAGGAATTCAGATGTTTCGGTTGGTCATATTCACCGTCTAAAAAGTGGTGGACTCGTATGACTAGTTACGTTTTGGGACGTTGGGAGAGTGAGCTGAGCGCAGCGGATTATATGCACCTATGCGAGCCACCATGTATGGATTTCCGGTTAGCAGTTGTCATTTCTTGGCATTACTGGAGTCTTATAACCCTGATAGTAACACTTTTCTGACTTGTAATGGAGAGTTGGAGTTAGCTCTTCATGAGATGCAAAAGGTTTCTGGTCTTCCAATGGGAGATTACCCATACCATGAGTATTTTCTCTCTAACCTACAGCTGGGACAGCTGAAGAGAGATTCCTCTGACATGTATGACACGCTCTGGGACCTTAAGTGACATTATCATACATCCCTGATTAGGATGAGTCCTCTGGCGAAGAGGAAGAAGCAGGTTAGCTTGAAGCAGTTTGCTGATTATTTATTTCAGCATTTGAAGAGCAGTTCGGGCGAGGCCATTTGTGAGTTGGCCCCTTTGACACCTTCTGTCATTAATGACTTAATCGAGAGGGCTGACGCTTGTTCATTTACTACCGCTGGTGTTGAAGGTTCTTTTCCCACGGGGACTAAATTTCGGACATTCCTTTGTCATGCACGAAAGCTTATTCGGCCTAAGGCCCTTCTGGCGGGGTATCTCGCCTTTTGGTTGAAGAAGTGTGTCGTTCCATATCAGTTTTCTGACACTTTGTCTATTAAGGTTCTCCTCCCTGCCGTCTAGCTAGCTCACGGGAATGATCTTTCTCTACTTTCGGTGATGGTTGTCGATATTCATTGTGGGCTTAGATATTTGATCGATGGTTTTACACATGTGGGTTCTGAACCATCGGCCGTGATTCTCTCCGTAAAGGTCGAGCTTCCGTATACGTACTTGATGGCATGACTCGTCCTTCACTATCCCGATTTGATGTCGGCGCCTAGTATTGCCGATGCCTCTGTCCCTTTTTTGCAGTTGTTAGAGGGGAGCAAATGGTTTGTGAAGACCTTTACTGAAGCACAACGAGAGCTTCAAGTTCGTCAGTGCTGGGAATTCTTCAAATATTTTCTTTATTTTTTGGGTCGTTATGTCGGCGTATTGATTGATGAGGAGAAATCATGGGTCGGTCGGACTTTCCTTGATATTGGTTGTTTCCGTTGGTTGGTGAACATCTGTGTCGGATACCTCGTCCTTCGGGTGAAGGGTCGTTGCCACATAGAGTCCTATCTTCCTTGTCGTTTCGCTAGTCAGTTCGGTTATGACCAACTATTGTTTCCGCTGTATCTTCGTCGTCCGAACTCGGAATTGTGCTATTCAAAGTGCGTATGAAAGCCGACGAGGAGATCTACAAGCTCTCATGGTTGAGTCATACATGGAGCTGACGAAACACGAGAGGCGCTTCGTTTTTTTCATTAGCGAAGCGTAACTCCCGTTCAGTTCGTATCTTTGTTATTCTGCAGTTTCGTTGCTTCACACGGTTCGTCGACGTGCTTCATGCGCTCATCGACGTCAATTAAGCATCTGTGACTCAGATAGCGATGTTCATTGTCTTCTCTCTGCCTCGAGCTGTGTGCGAGAGCCCATAGGCAATTTTTGACGCCTACAGTTCTTTCTTGTAAGTACATGTTAGGTCTAAATTAACGTGTTAGTTCTTGCTGAAATGCATGTTATTTCTATCTGGGGTGCATGTTAATTCTAATGGAGTTGATGTTAGTTTTAATTAAATTCGTGTTAGTTCTAATGGAGTACCTATTAGTTCTAGTTGAGTTCCTGTTATTTCTAATGTATTTCATGTTAGTTCTATCAACTCTCATGCATAATCCAAGATTCTCTCTTTTATTTCAATGCATACATTACTTGGTTTGCAGCCCTCACTCTATGGATACGAGTCGGAACATGCTATTTTTGTCATGTATTAAAAAATTTACCGTCATCCGCATTGAGCATCTGTTGATTCATATGGTCAGGGACGATCACTTCATCTGTTGGAGGTTGATTTGAAAGAATAAGTCGTCAAACATTATAGTTCTGCTAACCATGATGCTTGGATGGATCCTGTTAACAAAAGCATAAACTATTTTGATCACCAGCAAGCTAATTTTGTTAGTGCAAGGGTGCGCAGAGAATTTAAATATAAAGCCATCAAATGCGAGCAACAAATAGGGAGGTTAGTTCTAATATTTTAATTGTTTATCTAGAGATATAGTGGAAAAAACTAACATACGCATTCTATGTTGCAGCTATGACTATGGTGTGTTCGTCTACCTCTTTATGCAAGCAATAATTGAAAGTCGCTCGACATTATGCGTGACGCCTCCGGACGATATCCTTGAAGCTATATGAGCAAGACTTGCCGCACAATTATTAATTGCTGCTTGAAGCTATATGAGCAAGACTTGCCGCACAATTATTAATTGCTGGTTATGAACAAAGACATAAAGACAAATCATCGTATAGTGATGAATGACATGTTTATACAAATACAATAATATATGTATATTTAATTGGAAATGTATATTTTACAGTTCTTGTTAGCTCTAACTTCGTGTTAGTTCTAATGTAGTAAGTGCTAGCGCTAATTGTTATTTTGTTAGTTCTATCGCATTTCTGTGCAGCTCTAGTTGAACGTTATTTCTAGTGGAGTACATGTTAGATCTAATCGAGATCATGTTAGTTCTATCTCATTTCTTGTTAGATCTAGTCGAGCGTTTAGTTCCAGTGGACTACGTGTTAGATCTAGTCGAGATTCTGTTAGTTCTATCTCATTTCTTGGTAGGTCTAACTTTGCGTTAGTTCTAATGAAGTAAGTCTTAGCTCTAGTTGAGATCAAGTTAGTTCTATCCCATTTCTTGTTAGTTCTACTTCCAGCTAAAGTTAGTTCTAGTAGAAGTGTTGGTTCTGGTGGTTATGTTAGTTCTATTGCAGACCATATTAATCCAGTGATTCTCGTGTTAGCTTTAGCTGATTCCGTGTTAGTTCTACTTCTAACTAGAGTTAGTTCTAATATAAGTACTGGTTCTAGTGGCTATGTTAGTTCTATTGCAGTTCTTATTAGTTCTATTGGTTTTTGTGTTAGCTCTAGTTGATTTCGTGTTAGTTCTACTTCGAGAATCTTGCTACAAAAGAAGAGAAATCAAACATTATGATGTGTTTGAGGATTGATTTGCAAATATATGCAACATGGAGGGTTTTTGTGCACAAATCTACAAAGGAAAAATAAAAGGAAAAAAAAGATGTTAGTACCTAAAATCAATCCAGGGCGCATAGACTTTAAAGTCCAACCCGCGAACTAACTATGCTAACAAATATTTGCAAACTAACATCGAATATCATATTTGTAAACGAATCAAAAATGAATATCATTTCTTTTCAAAAAAAAAAAAGAATATCATTCTGTTGTTCGATCCAAATTTGAGACTGAAATCGAAAGGAAAACTCCTCAGAGACTTCAAAATAGAGGACCCCTGAAGGGACAGATGAGGTGACAACTATTGAGGGCTTGATGTACTGTTTATAAACAGTATATTAAGCCTATAGGAACAGACACCTCAGGTCCATGTATCAACACCCAAATAGAAAATACTAAATCTGACCGGATTCGAACTAGAATAAAGCAGATATTGGATTGGACTCGTGACAGCACGGGACTAGCATATATATATATATATATATATATATATATACAATTATGACAGCACGGGACTAGCATATATATATATATATATATATATATATATGCAATTAACCGTTCTCCAAACAAAGCAAATTTCATAAATATCACACCCCCGCCCCCCCGGCGGGGGGATGGGTCTTCGCTCAGTCTGCACAAATTGATGCGTCCGTGCAATAATGCTGGGGCCTCAGAGAAATCCGACAAAAGTGTACCTGAGAGACGTACGCAGCCTGCAAAAGCAAAAGCGAAAGCATGTACGGATTGTTCGACATTAGCCTCCCATATCTTCAATATTAGCCCCCCCAAATCTTTCTCGAGGTCCCCTATATCTTCAATATTTTGTATGAGCCCTTCAAATTTGAAATTAATATCAGGCCCCGAAATCCTATTAGTATCTATCTTCAATATTTTGTATGAGCCCTTCAAATTTGAAATTAATATCAGGCCCCGAAATCCTATTAGTATCTTAAAATAAACCCTATTTGAAATTAATATCAGGCCCCGAAATCCTATTAGTATCTTAAAATAAACCCTATTAGTTAAAATCTAGAAAAATGGGGGAGATATTTTGTTTAACATAATTTTTTTGGTTATTTGCTAGATGTACCCCTCTCACACAAATTCAAACTTGTTAATCATTTTAACTTGTATCTGTTAAGTTCTCTAAATCCGTTTAATAAAACTCTAACCCAAAGTTATTTTCCACTTCAGCTTCTCCAATGTCTTCTCTAACTTCTTCTCTAAAGCGAATCTATCCGATGCAAATTTGAGATTAGAGCTAAAGAGAACCGTTGGGAAAGATGTTTGAGAAAATGAGTTTGGGATAGATTTTTATTGAACGAATTGCGGGAGCTTAACGTGTATGATTTAAAGTGATTAATGAGTTTGTGTTTATATATGAGAGGAGTACAACTGGCAAACTACTGAAAAAGGTTAAAAGTAAACAAGATATTGTCCCATTTCAACTAATTTTTAACTTGGAGGTGGGCTCATTTCGACATACTAAGAGCATTTGGGGGACTTGAGATCAATTTTAAAGACTTGGGGGCTAATACAAAATATTGAATTTTTAGAGGTGCTTGAGGGTCTAAGGTTGTGTTTGGTGATCTCTCAAAATATTGAATTTGGCCCAGTTTTAAAAGATTTTTTGTTTGGCAAACAATTTGGCCATATTTTCATATAGGCCAAATAGTGGCATTAAACTGGTTTTCATTTGGACCAAGGTGTACTGGTCCAAATGAAAACCAGTTTAGCACAAAACTGGGTCAGGACCATACCCAGTTTTGTGTAATTTGCCAAACTGACCCTAAGAATGTGTCCATCAATTTCAAAAAAGAGCTGAGTTTGAACTAGTTTTTGCTTAACTAGGATAGAATTGAACAATATAGAAAGTGGTTCAAAAGTGAAGTAGTTTATAGGCTAAATTTGGACAAAAGAAAACTAGTTCAATTGTTGCCTAATTATTGCCAAAATAAAGACTAGCTTTTGGATAAAAGACTGTGCTCATTAAAACTAGTTTTCACTCCAACTTTAACTATTCTCGCTTCTATTTTGATTCGACCGTATTAGAATGAACTTATTATTATTATTATTATTATGTTTTCACTCATACAAAAGGTTTAAACAGTCATTTAGATAGTGAACGTAAGTGAGATTATGTAACACACTCACATACAAACATACGCATTCCACTTAATTAACCCTCCAAACTCGTCTCGCTTAACCCTTCAAGGTAACATCGTAAACTTTGACGGGTCACTTGCCAAATGCAGGGCCGGCCCCGAGGTTTGGGTTGCCCTAGCCCCCGCCCCGGCCCTAGGTTGCCCCACAACGACCTTCCCTCCATGACAACCTCCCCTCCTTTGACTCCTCCCCTGGGTTGCCCCACGACGACCTCCCCTCCACGACGAGGGTCAATTCTGAGTAAAGAAAAAAAGTCACTCACCAGCATAAGCTCTCACTGTCTCAACCCTGGTCACCTCCTTCGCAAGCGCCGGCAGCTCATCCCCCAATATCTGCTCGCTTCTCTCAAATCCATCTAGATCACCAAAATCCCCCCCAAACACTCAATCCCAAAAAAGAAAATAGAGTTAATTTCCCAACCAAAAACCTAAATTTACCTGAACTGTGCTTCGAAAGTCGAAACCGTCAATCTAAGATCTTGCAGTCCTGATTTCACCCCTCCGAGAGCGGAAGAGACCTGATCCGAGTGGGCGGAGTAAGGCAACGGAATCGGACAGCCGGCGGCCGAGATCCGAGAGAGACGCCTCAAGATTCGTGCAGCTGGTTCTGAGATCGGATTCGAGGTGGGCGGATCTCAACATATCGTCGTTGAACTCCTCAATCAGCACTTCACACCTCAAGTCATCCCCACCTGGCAAGTTGGTCTGTTAGCTCTCCATCAAAGATGAGGGGGGCAGAGGCTTCAAAGACCTAGGCTTCCATCTTGGAATTTTGGCAATTGTGGGCTGTTTGGAGTTTGTGGGTTGTTGCGCAGGCTTTATTAGGAGTAAAGTATGCTTCATGGGCAGATTTTTAGGGGCGGAGCGACAGTGGGAATGCTCTATTGGAAAAAATCGCACTGAAAACAAACTAACTAGGAACCCCAAAAGCATATTTTTCTTCCTCTCATCTTCTCAAGCATCCCGTTCAAGAGTAAAGATTCCCTCACAAACTGATAATAAAGATTCCCCACAAACTCAACAGAGAAATGTGCATTAACATAAAACACGTGCTAGGCATTACATCAAACACATGATGAGCTAGCTAGTCATTCCTACTTCTAACTTAACATTCTCACAGTTCATCAAAATCACCATGATAACAAAGAGAGTAAAACCATAAAAATCCGAAAATAATAAAAAAAAATAAAAAGCTCAGAAATTTTAGAAATTGAGCAGTCAAACTAGAGAGCATACCGATTCAGGAGTTTAATATAACTCCTTCTCTTGTTAGAAAACAATCTATCATTACGTTCTTGCCAAATGCACCAAATGAGACGGCAGATGATAACATCTCTTTTCATTCTATTATTCCCAACAGAATTAGAATTCCAGTTCAGCCACAGATTCTTAAGAGAACCCAATCCGAAGTCCTCTTCAATATGAAGATTGCATCGAATAGAATTCCATATTGATTGAACAAACTCACAGTAAAGAAATACGTGAGTATGATTTTCCTCCACCTTAGTACATAAACAACAGATTTCTTCCAAGTGAATTCCTTTCTTTTTCAAGGTATCTTTTGTATTCAAACTTTGTCTAAAAGCAAGCCAAACTAAAAATTTGACTTTCAAAGGAATAGGGAGCTCCCATAATCTTGCACAATCATACCTTAAACCCCCATCAATAGGAAATTGATAGAAGGATTTAACTGAAAAAGATTTTTTGCTCTCCCATATCCATTCTCTCTTATCTTCCCCATATGAAAAACTAATTGAATTAATGATATTCAACAATTTAAAGAACTGAGAAACAAGATCACCAGTCAGCTGCCTCTTAAATTGAAGAACCCATCTCCATATATTGTCTTCTTTGATTCTCAAACTACAAACAATAGCATAAGGGGAAGTAGAAAGGTTAAAAACAAAGATGGAAAAAAGGGAAGCAAGAGTAGATGAACCTAACCATTTATCAAGCCAAAAAAGAGTGAATTTTCCATTTCACACTTCCACTTGAGTACTGCAAAGAAAGCTGTCAACATTACACCAGAAGCCTTTCCAAAACCATGAAAAGTGAACTTTACCCGAATGAAGATATTCATTCCATGGTTTTCTTTCAAAATATTTATGATAACTAATTTGCTTCCATAGCTCATTATTACCATTAAACCATTTCCAAAGCCATTTACTTAATAAAGCTGTATTCATCACTTTCAAATTTTTTATTCCCAAACCACCACATTGTTTTGGTCTACAAATCTCCTCCCATTTCACGAAATTAGTACATCATTTATGCTCCAAAGAGCCAATCCATAGAAATCTTCTCCTCATAATATCAATTTTATAAATGACCCAAACTGGGAATAAGAAAAAATATAACCAGAATATTGGCATAGAAGAAAGAACTGAGTTAATCAAAACCAATCTCCCTCCTCTTGATAAAGATCTACCTTTCCATATAGCTAATCTTTTCTCAATTTTCTCAATCAAAGGAAACAAGTCATCTCTTTTCAATTTTCCTGGCCTTAAAGGAATTCCAAGATAGGTAATAGGAAAATTACCACATTTACAGTTCATCATACACGCCAATTTTTGTTGTAAAGCCTCATTATCTTCTAGAGTAATGAGAACACTTTTGTTAAAACATATTTTTAAACCTGAAGCTAATTCAAAGCAATATAGAATCAGCTTCAACACAGTCAAGTGCTCTTTTTACTTTTGCAAAAGATCAAAGTATCATCAGCTTACTATAAGCAAAACACTTTCTGTCTCATACTTTCAGGACCTAAACCTTCAATTAGCTGAGCATCAACAGCTAACTTCAACATCTTAGTAAAAGAATCAGCTGCCAAAACAAATAAGAGAGGTGACAAAGGGTTTCCTTGACGAACTCCCCTTTTAGACATAATCCAATTTCCAGGTTTACCATTTATGTTGATGGCAGAGAAACCATCTTTCAAACATAAAGTCACCTAATTAATCCATTTATCACCAAAATTTTTGGCTTTCAAAACTTCTAAAATAAAATTCCAGTCTAACAAATCATAGGCTTTTTCAAAGTCTAATTTTAATAAAATCCCTCCTTTTTTGTTATTTTGGAAACAATCATTGATAATTTCTTGAGCTGCCACAACACCATCAAGCAAAAATATGTCTTTAATAAAACCAGATTGCAAAGGATCAATAAGCATCTCCAATTTATAATTCAGTCTGTTAGTCAGAACTTTAATAATCACTTTATAAATCACATTTAACAAACTGATGGGCCTGTAATCTTTAATAGAATTAGCATCATTCTTTTTGGGAATAAGAACAATATGAGTATAGTTAAGTCTGTTAATTTCTAAGATGCCCTCATGAAATTCTACAAATAACCTCATAACATCTTCTTTGACAGTATCCCAAAAAACTTGATAAAAAAGAGTAGGGAAACCATCTGGACCAGGAGATTTATCCCCATTCATATCAAAAATAGCTTTATGAATTTCTTCCATAGAAAAAGGTTGTTCAATATCATCTGGACCCCAATCAACCAAAGGGAATAATTTCTCCCAATTTAGATGGCATCTGTGAATAACAGTTTGCCCAAAAACTTGATTATAATGATTGGAAAAGGCCTGGGCTATACCATCCTCAGAACTAATAACCACATCATTAATTGTAATAGATGAAATCAGATTACATCTCTTCCTACCATTAGCAATCTTATGAAAGTATGCTGTATTATGATCCCCCTCTTTAAGCCAATGAGCTTTTGCTCTTTGTTTCCACATTTGTTCTTCTTGAAGCAAAATTTCGTTCAACTGGAGCATAATGTCATTTTTGCTAATAATCTCATCATCTGTCAAATCTCTAGACTCTTCTAAAACTTCCCATTCAAGAAGCTTATCAAATAAATCTTTTTTTTTTGCTTAACACTATGAAAATTAGAATGAGTCCAGTGTTCTATGCATTTCCTTAAAAATTTTAACTTGCCAACAAAATTTTTTGCAGCAGAAACACTTGAAGGAGCACATTTCCACCATAATGGTATTCCTTTTTTAAACTCCTCAGACTGTAGCCAAATTTTTTCAAATCTGAACAACTTAACATTTTGTTGATTATCTCCACAGTCAAAACTTATAGGGGCATGATCTGATAATTGGCTACAAAGCCCTTGTTGTCTTGAAAAAGGAAAAACATCATCCTATTCAGAGTTAAAAAAAACTCTATCCAATCTTGCCATAGAAGGAGATCTTCTTTTATTAGACCAAGTATACTTCCTCCCATGAAGGGGGCTATCAATTAATTCCAAGTCAGAAATCATTTCATTAAAAATTTCCATTTCTCTTCTATGAATACTCTTCCCTTTTCTTTCATCTGGATTGATAGTGAGATTAAAATCCCCCACTACAACCCAAGGACCTGAAATATTATCTTTTTATATTTTTGAGTTCTTGCCAAAACATAGCCCTTTCATCATTACAATGAGGTTCATAAACTGAAGAAACAGTCCATATAAAGCCATTTTTATTGTTCTGCAAAACAACTGACAAAACATAGCTCCCAGATATATCCTGTATTTTCTTCCACTTATTACAATTCCATCCAATCATGATACCACCAGAGGCACCAATAGAGGGTAAACAAACCCAATCAAAAAAGGTACCCCCCAAACTATTAAGGATACTATCATTAATACACTCCAACTTAGTTTCCTGTAAACATATAATCTCAAACTTATTCAAAAGAAAAAAAATCTTTGACTCCAAATCTTTTAGAGCTTAAACCCAAACCTCTCACATTTCAAGTAATCAACATGATATATCAGAAAACACCTCCAAAATTGTGAAAACCAAGAGTCTACTCTAAAGTAGCTCTCTCCTTCTCCATTTGCCTCAATTTTTTTAGAGGATCAAAATCCTCTTGAGGTTCAAGAACAATAGCACATTGAGAAGCAAATTTTTGCAATTACTTATTAGTACAAGAATCAAATAAGATAGGTACATAGGAAGAACCCAGATTTGAAGATAAAGAAGAATCACCAGAACCAGAGATTCCTTGAGAAGATTTTTCAGCATTTCTAGCAATTCTTGCAGAAGCTCTGTCTACTGCATTCATGGGTTCCAAATCCACAAATCTGGAGCATCTCCTGACAAAAGCCACCTTTGCATTGAGAGAAGAGTCCTCAGGAGGCAGTGAATTCAGAGGTTGGACCAAGAGAAGGTCATCATTCCCCACTGTTTATTCCTCATCTTTCTCTGTTCCTTCTTCATAATTGTTGGGAGTTGGAAAAGAAAGCCACTTACTAGTGTCCTGAGCTTCACTTATCATTAAAGCTTTTTCTTGATATTCATCATGTATATCAGCTGTTTCTCCCTCTTCTAAGGCCACTGTATTCTCCTTATTTTCGGAGGAAATAGGAATATCAAACATCCCCTCAATAATTTTGCCTTCAATTTCATTCCCCTGATTACTCTTCTCTTCATGCTCAGTAACTACATTTTCCTCTGGAATTTGTCCAATATCAGTTTTTTATCTGAATTAATCATCCAAGGTTCTCACTCAGTATTTTGCTTTTGATAGAAACTCTTGGCATCCATCCAAAGCTTAGCAGCAGGAGTTCCCCAAGGTGTGTTTCTCAAATCCTGTCTAACTATCCAGGAATTATTAACTAAGTCTTTTTGAGAAGAAGATTCAGTTCCACTATTTTTTCTTCCTTTAAACCACTTATCATTATAAGAGCTTTGAAAATTCTCTTCCATCTGATCAATTTTTTGTTTTTTCCTTTCTCCTTCACTAAGCTCACCCATAACAGACATGATAGACGCATTTACATTGTATTGATTCTTCCCCACAAAAATTTTCAAGACTTTAGGAATATCTACATATTCCAAGCATCTAATCAAAAGAATTGCATCAATAAATTCTGTACAAGCCTCTGTTAAAGAGTCAAGCTCTATTAAATCAGCAAAAGGTTTAACCATCAGTTCAAAAGATTCCCTATTCCATAAATGAGGGGGAACATGGTTCAGTTTAATCCAAACACATGAATTTCTTTTTTCAACAATATTTCCTTCCCAAGCACTCCATCTTCTGAATTTGATCTTACAGGATCTCAAAGATAAAACTCCCATTCTAATCAATTCTTCCATTTGTTTCCATGGCTGGATCTTCACTAAAACCTCACCATTAGTGTATAATCTAACATCCCAGTTCTTGTTCATAGGAAAAAAACTCTCGAGTCCAATTCTAACCTTTTCAGGGAAATATTGCCCCCCTCCACAAACGAAATGATAGCAAAATTTCTAAACTTTTGAAAACCAAAATTTACCTCACCCTCAAAGTTGAGGACAGCAGATGAAAAACGAGGGCGGTCTCCTGAAGTTTTTAATTCAGACTCCAAATCTCCAAAATCCCTAGGACATTGATCTTGAAATTTAACCATATTTTCCTGTAATTTTTCTTCATCAACAGCGGATAGAGGCCTTTTACCTTTATCTTGTGGACGATTCTCAGCCGATCTATCAAGATTCCTTGAAGAAGAAAAAGCCGAAGCCTCTCTCCTCCATTGCCAAGGATTAGAACTATCAGATCTTGCATTACGTCCACTAGAACGACCACCAGTTCCCCTACCACCAAGATTTCCTTGACCACCAAGATTTCCTTGACCTCTTCCTTCACTACCCATACCTCTACCACTGAAACCACGCCAATTCTCAGAAGATCAATGCCCAGTTCCAGATCTGCAATTTCTCGCTTCATGTCCAACTTTTTGACAGCGGAAACAAACAATTGGATCTCGACAATCTCGTGCCACATGTTTCAAGCCTCCACAGCGAAAGCACAAACGATTTCTTCTAATGATCTCTGCAGAAAGAAGACGAGGAGGAGCGAGAAATTTAGGAGAAAACGGCGCTTTAGGGTTTCTCTTCACAACTTTAACCCACTCCCCCTCTTCAGCCACCGCTGAGATTTCTCGAGATCTGTTCTCCTCAATCCCCTCCGTAAAAACCAAATTAGCCCTAGAATCTTCACAAACCCTAGAAATGGGCTGAGGAGAAATGGGCTTTGAAGCCTTTGTCTTAAAAAGATTATCAGAAATTAAAGATGGAACAGTTTCTCCCCAAATTTTTTTGGCCACAAAATTTGTAGTCTCAATCGGCCCAATTAAATCTCCCAAAAACTCCATTTTCTCTTCTATATTTTTCTTTCTTTTTCCTTTTTTTTTCACTGATCAAAGCAAGAAAAAATCGCCCTCCATCTCACTCGCAGGAATCCAAGATCATGCATGTTCACTCAGTGTCAATGGAATTATAAGCCCAGGATGATTAATTCAGTCATATGTATGTATCTTTACTCTGATATCTATTTTAAATCTATGTTAAAGATATATTTCTAATTCTATTTCTTTCTTGGGCACCAGGGATTAGTCATTCCTACTTCTAACTTAACATTCTCACAGTTCATCAAAATCACCATGATAACAAAGAGAGTAAAACCATAAAAAACCGAAAAAAATAAAAAGCTCAGAAATTTTAGAAATTGAGCAGTCAAACTAGAGAGCATACCGATTCAGGAGTTTTTGGGGTTCGGTTTGGTTTCAAGAGATCAGACCTCCCCTCCACAACGACCTCCCCTTCTTCGACTCCTCCCCCTATCTTAGGTTTGGTTGCCCCCCGGCCCTGGGTTGCCCCAGCCCCGGGGCTTGGTGGGCTTACCCCAGGGCCGGCCCTGGCCAAATGCTTGAAAATAAATAACGAAAATATCCCTCAATTTAGTGAAATTACATCCTTTTTCATTGATGGAGTTATATTTCAAAATGGTCATTTCGCTTATTTCACCGTTTACTTGTAAACACGTTGGTTGTATTATAAAAACCTTCAAAGTTCACAGAATTAGGGGGTGTTTGTTTCACCAAAATTTTTAGCATTTGGTATGGATTACAAGTTTTAGGATCAAAAAGTAAGTTTTTTTGTATTTTGGATTCCATATATAGTGTTTGTTGGGGGGTTATTGGTTGGTGTAATTTGTGGGATAATGGAGTAATTTTTGGAACATCAACTTTTGGTGTTATTCATTGGGATAATTGGAACTGGTGTATAGTTTGAGGTGCTATTCGTTTGTTGGTGTAATTGGGGAACAAAAACTCCATTACCCCTAAAATTACACCAGCTATATAAGCATGACTCAGCCCCCAAGCCCAAAATTACCCCATATCGCCTCCTGGGACAAAAGAGGGGAACAAATTCCCCACTTCCATTCTCGAGCTCGATCGAGAACAAATTCGTCGTCGTCATTCTCGAGGTCGTTCGCCGACTTCGCCGTCGAGAACCAAATTCGTCGTCGTCGTTCTCGAGGTCGTTCACCGACTTCGTCGTCGTCGTTCTCGAGCACGATCGCCCGCCGCCATCTCCTTCGCCTCCTCCTCCGCCGCCTCCTCCGCACCACCGCCTCAACCTCCCCCGCCGCCGCCTCCTCCGCACCACCGCCTCAACCTACCCAACCTAGGTACCCTACCTCAACCTATCTCAGTTCTACAAGTTGATCTGAAATCTCTGAAATATTGTTCTTTTTTTTTTGAGAAAAATGGGCTCAATATTCATGTAAACTTGACTGATGTCAGGCCAGGTGCCAAACTGATCCTTTGTAAACTTGACTGTATATGCTAGTGTGAATTTCACAAAACTGATTTAGGCCAAAACTGATTTCAGGCCCGGTGCCAAACTGATCCTTGTAAACTTGACTGTATATGCTAGTGTGAATTTCACAAAGACCAGGATTCATAGAAAATTGTCATAAACTGATTTCAGGCCAGGTGCCAAACTGATCCTTTGTAAAATTTTGTGTGTTATTAAAGATTTGGGGTTGTATGTTTGAACAATTATTGCAATTAAAAAATTTGTTAATGTAGCATAAATATTAAAATAAACATCAAAATATTCAAAGATTGATTAATATTAATATTATTATATTATTTTTATTATTTTATATTAAAATAATCTTAAAAATAATATTATTGTATATTATAACTATTATTTATTTAATCATTTGATGTTATGTCAAGTTAAACTTGAATTTAATTGAGCTATAAATATAATATTATAAAAAGATGTTATACTAAATTGTCCCACTTAAATTGTCCCATTATCCCCATTTACCCCAATTTATCCCACTCAATTATCCCATTGGGTAAAATTACCCCATTGGAATAATTTACCCCAAATTACACCAAATTACACCAATGAATAACCCCTAGGAAAATTTTTAGAATATTGAACCCCAAAAGTATAAAAAATATCCATTTTTTAGAATTTACCAAATCCTCTCAATTGGAGAGAATTTTGGCAAATGCCATAAATGAGTGTGTTTACCTCTCAATTAGAGAGGATTTGACAAACCCTAATTTTATCTTTTTGTGGAAGGTAACCTCACCAAGATAGCATATTCATCATATTATAAAATTCTGGTATTTGGTAATGCTACAATTTGAGCTTGAAACAAATAAAATATTACAAATTGTAGTATTTCAAATCCTAAAATATTAATAAAACAAACAACATTTTAGAGATCTCAACCCATAACAAAACGATTTCAAATCCCATGGTGAAATCCATATCCTAAAATTATAGGATTTGAAACAAACACCCCCTTAGAGTGAGACATCCCAAAGTTATGGGGATTAAGCGGAATAGTTATTTTTTCAGGAGAGTTATCTCCCAGAGTTCAAAGGGTGATGTGAAATTTACTCCTCCACAAAAAATATGAGCTGAAGGGCATTTAGGTCCTTATCTGTAGCTGTTTCATCAACTTTGCACTTAAATATTCTAAATTATAAAAAATAGCACTTTAGTACCCTAAGTTGTAAGAAAGTGACACTTTAATACCCTACGTTGTAGAATGTAGCATTTACTATATTCTGCTAATTGTCAGGACATCTCTCTCCAAAAAAATTAAAGTTTATATTTTCAGATTAATCTAACAAACATACTACGATATTAAAAAAAAGGTGTTGTTCAAGGAGTTATTATTAAGTTTAGATCGAGAATTTCTTTTATAAATTAGTTTTATTATTTTATAAAAACATTTTATTTACATGAACGCTTTCCGATGACTTTAATTTGTTTCTATTTAGTGATTATTTTTATATTTTAGAAATTTACAAACATGCAATCCAAGTCGAATAACCTGAAGAAACCTTTCGTGAGACACCTGCTTTAGGAAGCCCTGCGATGGTGGAAGATGGCATCCGTGATAAGGATCAGAAAAGAAAGAACGACCTACAACTTGCCAGGACGAAGATATTCATGGTTCCGGTTATCAAATTTGTAGTTCGTATTTGAAGAAAATATGTTTTAGTAGCTCCTGAGAAATTTATATTTTGGTGTAATTTCTTACTTGCTTTGTGGGGGTCACCCCTGTAATTTTGACTCATTCAATTGGTGACCAATTCAAACATTAATCAATGTGTTTTTTTGTTTTGTTTTTTGTAAAAAACACCATATATACCATGATGTTTCTTATTTAAATGTGTTTTGAAAACATCATTTTGGTCAAACTAGTTTGACTATTTATATAGCGGCAGTGTGGCGGCGTACGTGGCGGCGATCGGGTGGCGGGTGCCGGCGCTAGGCAGCCGAACCGACGGAAGACGACGCGCGGCTACAGCAGATACTGACGAGTGCGCAGTGACCGCCGACGGGCGGGCGGCGGGCCGGCGGTGTCCGATGGTGGCGGGTGCCCGGGGCGACAGGAGCGCGGTGTCGGCGGCGATGGCCTCGTTCCGACCGACGGTGACGACGGGCCGCGGGCAGCAGACCGACGGGCGCTACTTGTGCGTGGTGGTGGTGGCGCGGCGGTGAGGGTTGCCGGGTGGCTGGACTTTGACGGGGCTGGCGGGTGGGAGGGCTGGGCCAGCCACGGGCGAGATGGCCGACCGGGTCGGCAGTGACGGCGGTGGTTGGTAGCCGTCGGCGGGGCGCGTGGCGACAGGTTGACGCGACCAACGGGCGGGCAGCGGCTGGCTGCCGGCTGGCGGGGCGGTGGCGGCGGCGGTGGCCGGCGACGGCGGCCAATGGAGTGGGGACGGTGTGTGGAGGTGGCCAGGCGGGCTGAGGAGTAGTGGTTGTGGCCGGGCGGCTGGCGTAGGGCCGCATGAAGAGCAGGACCGGTGGTCGCGGGTGGACTGCGGCCCGACGGCGGCGGCGGCGCGGCCAGCGCGGCAGGGTGGCGCGGGCCGACAGCGACGAGCGAGCGGCGGCGGTGGCTTAGATGAAAAACAGAATCTCAAAACATCTTTTTGGTGTTTTGAGAAAAGTGTTTAATTTTTATATTTTGTAAAGGGACAAGTCAAAAAAACGCCCCGGTTGCCAAATGCATTTATTTCTTTTGTTAAAAAAAACAGAAACGGCAAAAACGCCACGGTTGCCAAACGCTCTTAAATTTCTCAACAAAATGATACTTTGTTGAGATAATATTGGACAGTGGGTTATTGAGAGAATATCTCTCAGAAACAGTTTTCGAGGGATGGAGATGATGGTGTAGCATCTATATATATAGTATAGTGTTCTCTTTGAGAAAACACGACATAGAAAAAACAACCCCTAAGGGCCCGTTTGTGTTAGAAATTTATCAAATAATTAAGATTATAGCATACAGATAAATCCGAAAAATAAACAATTAAAACTGGCCTGATCGGGAGCAGTCGTGTATTCACTGCCCTAGAAGATTGAGAACCCGCCTATCGACCTGGCGCAGATGGTTCCCTCCCCCTAGCGGTAAAAGCCCCCAGAAACGACCGACCTCTGCACTTGGGCGAGAGTGCAGAGCTTCAGCTCAGATGAAGGAAGTTGCTCATAAAATAAAACTAAGATGTAGATAAAAATAATATGTAGGAGAGAGAAGAAAAACAAGAAAAACTTGTTGTATATTTTTTTCTTATCATTTTGAGCTCAACATACGGATATATATATATATATATATATATAGGGTTGGAAAAGACGTTACAAAACCCGTAATTAATTCCGTAACATTCGTCATAAATTTTGTAACGTTCCCCATAATTATATAGTCGTTACACATATTTTTAATTGCTAATTAAAACATGTTTTAATTATAAAATTTTATTACTATTCATGAAAGCAAAATTGTCTTTTCTTAACAAAATATCTAACAGTCCCCCCCCCAAAAGGCAATATTGACTGAAGACTCAGAAATCAATAAATAAACCAAGAAATCATAAAACAAATATAGGTTGGGCAACCTTTCGTATCGTGAATTCGGGAGATGTAGCTTCTGGCTTTGAACATTTCCTTAGTGAGTTCATCGCCACCTGAGGGACATAATGGACTAGACCTTGAATTAGGCCCCTTTAATCAGATATTGATGAAAACACACACAATATGCTTCATCTATTGAGCAAAGTGGGTTGAGCGTTAAAGGCCATGCTCACAATAAACCGACTCATTAGAGTTTCTAGGGGTTAGCTCAGCCCCCCCTAACTGCGGCCATCAAGGTTCCTCTCACGTAGGTAAGTCCTCAAATGGTACTACAGCTGTTTATTTAATACCCCTAATAATACACACGTTGGACTTATTAAGAGTAAAACTCAGCCTAGCCAGCTGTATCATAAGAGCATCGTCATCATAGAGAAGGGGTAGTAGCACAAGCTACATAGTGATATATGAATATATCTGGGTCGATGCTCCACACGAGTGTCAC